ATGATGATAACTTGAAAGAGAAGGGGATCCAAAATAAATCCATAACTTAAAACAAATAAGACCAGATATAAATTTAGTGAGATAGAAAGGCCAGTGTATATGCGTGGGGAAGAATTTGTGAGTGCCTATGACAGCTGATGCGCTGCAATTGCTGAGCTGCATTATTGGACGATGTAGCTCATTCCATGTTTCAGCAGTGCTCTTTCACTGTTAAGATATCATTCACTGTTTGCAGTTCTCTGTGCGTGCTTTTGTAAATCTTGCTTGAATCTTTGTTCAGTTCAGCCTACGAAAACATTTAAACACACGTATACATGTTACTAAAATATTGTTAATTATGCCTTGATGTCATGTTCTCCCCGTGCTGCGGGGGTTTCCTCTGGGTACTTCGGTTTCCTCCCCCAGTCCAAAGACATGCATGGTAAGCTGATTGGCGTGTCCAAAAGTGTCTGTGGTGTTTGAATGTGTGTGTGAGTGTGCCTTGCAATGGATTGGCACCCTGTCCAGGGTGTACCCTGCCTTGTGCCCGTTCCTCTTTGGGATAGGCTCCAGGTTCCCCGCAACCCTGTAGGATAAGCGGTATAGAAAATGCATGGATGGATGGCCTGATGTGTGAAGATCAATCTGTTCTCGTAGAATTGCAATGCTTCTCTAGACCCGGAAATCAAACCCTTCCTTGTTAAATGCAGGATATATTTATTACAATAGATTTGCACAATCGTATTAAGCTAATTTAGCAAAATCCCTGTAGCTCGGAAGAAAACAAGTTGAGTCATAACCACATGTCACCATTAATTCTCGTTTGGTAAGTTTTATGTCATTTGATTCAGTGGCTGCAGAGGAAATGAAAGGCCCTTCCACTGTAATAACACTAATGGTTTCTTGGATTTCCCAAGCGCCAATGGGTCTGTTTGACCTCCATCGCTTCACGCTAACAAATGCATGCTGCATAGAGCTCCAGGGGCTAAACCGCCTAGATTATCATTTCATTTCCACGATGCCAATCAATCCTGGTAAACAAAAGTGCTCTCTGAGTAAACCTTTGGCAGATTGGAGTGTGTGCTATGAGAGAGTCGTTAACTTGTCATTCAACAGACAAAAGAGAGTGTGAAGAACACCTACATCAACTACGTCAAACTGTCTATTGTTGTCAAGAACACCAAGGAACATAGTTAAGATAGAAACAATCTGGTGGTTGTCTAGGTAAAACAAAGGGAGGTGGTCTTAATTTAAGAATGGAGATTTCAGAGAAATTTAATTTAGGGAAATAAAGCTTGCTGGTGGCTATAAATAGTGGGAAAAAAACATTTGCAAACCAAACATCATTACTAATATCTATTTACTAATATCGTTATTCATATTTAGGATTCAATATGAGACACAGCCAACAAAAAGGAATCATTTAGAGTTAGCAAAATCCCTGTAAACTGCACACAAGGCAGACGATAAGAGTCATAAAAAAGTAATAACAAACACATTTCCATAGTGGAAAAGACACAAACAGCGCTTTGCTTAGTATATTCGAAGCACCGAAATTGCATCCCTGAAAATGACTAGGCAGGGAAAGTATAGTATTCGTCGTTCTTCACTTGGCAGAAATACCACCGGCTTATAATACTGTAATGTAGAGTCTTTCTGTGTCCAAAATGGGGCTGATTGTGTCCATACTGGACACTCTGTCAATGTGTTTTTATCAGTACTCTCTCCAGGCTGAAATTTCACATGTCGGAAAAGCAGCTGTGGAAAAATGCTGTACTATCTTTACTCTCTATTTTATAAAATAAATAAACAATGAAAGCATAAAATGATATGCCATTAGACTGGCGTATTCTACAAAATGCAAAATAATTGCCACCACATATAGACGCACGTATCTGTAGAGATGGTGTAGCGTTTGTGCAGAAAAAGAGGAATGTATATGAACATCCTTGAGAGCTTGCCGAAGTACAATCTGTTCTGCTCTCAGATTTTGCTAATTCAAAGCCTGAAGTGGGAAATCAAATTGTGATGGACGTATATAAAGCCAGCGAGTCATTAAGCTCACCCTTGTCTACTGAAATTAGTCGAAAACATTGGAGAAAATTCCTTCTCTCCTCCTTTGGATTATGGACCGTGCAATAGAGAAAAGAGGTTGTCAGATACATGACAGATGTGTATTTGGCAGCAAGATGAAACGATGAAACAGGAATACGAAAAGCCTGTGATCCCAGATTGCTTGTGCAAATTTAGCCAATACGTTCTCGTTCAATGTGTCACTTGCTATTTTTGTGTGTCTCTCTCCAGTGGTGTTTCACGTCTTCCACTGGTTTCTGTCTTAGCCATTATGTGTTCAGAGGCTGTCATGTTTATGTTTACTAGAATATGTATATATATATACATGTATATAATATATAAAATATAGGATACTGTATATAGGATACATATTATCGAGTTCTACATTATCGAGTGAGTACAAAAACTTTTTATTTTAGATTCCCAAAGATTAGTTTTCTGATCGCCTGACCTGTTGCCTGTTTTTGACCATGTTATTGTCCCATGATTTGGATTTGTCTGCCTGCCGCTCTTTATTAAAAGCTCTTATTTGCACTTGCATCCATCCTAACCTTCATTACGTTAATAACGTGACAACTGTATATAACATTGCAATTTTGGCTTTCTGGTTAACAGATCAAGATACAAGACATGAAATGATCAGGTGTAAGGATGTCCCTCGTTCACTATAGTATACTGAAAGTACATTATCGTAAAATTTCTGTTTATAACATACTTAGGTGTTTGGAGATGTCTATGATTCCTTTTATCCTGTCTAGAGCCAGAGTTCCAGCTGCGTAACATGATGCTGCCACCACCATGTTTCACTGTGGGTATGGTGATCTTTGGGTGATAAGCTTTCTTGTTTTTGCTCCAAACATATCTTTTGGAATTATTCCGACAAATTTCCACCCTGGCTTCATCAGACCTATCAACACATTTGTCCATAGGGTCTGGGGTGATTTAGGCAGGATAGGATGATTTTTTTCATTTTGAACGGCTTCTGTCTAGCCACAATAGCCCATAGCCCAGACATGAAGAATACTACAGATTGTTGTCATGTGCAGCTAGTGACCAGTACTTGCAAAATATTTCTGCAGATTCTTTAAGGTTACTATAGTTCCTTTGGCAGTTTTCTTATTGTCCATTCATCTACGTTGGTACATTGGTTCTTTGTAATGTCACTTACACTGTGCAACCATGCTGTTCTAAGTTTTCTCTTTTTTCTTGGTTCAATTTTTTACAATGAATTTTATCAAGGGTGTGCAAACTTTTTACATCAACAGCAAATGCATTTATTTTAACTAGGAATGCTATTAGTCAGTGATCACTCTAAATTCATTTACATTTATACTTCCAACAAATCCAGCAGTGGGGTTCGGGTGAGTCGAAAAAAAAAGTCTATGCAAATATGCTCATGTTGTATGAGAACACATTGCCATGAAAAAATGTATATCCTGTTATGTTCTGAACATCAATCTTGGCTGTGCTTACGTGCATATCTGCATATACTTTTTTAGGCTTGTTTTTTGGTTACTTATGCAGCATGAATAAGCTCTCTTGTTTTTCAAGTTAACCTGAAGGTTATTTGTGATCCGACCTTGTTAGCCACACGAGTCTGAATTGTCCTAGTGTTGTTGTTTTTTAATGCTAGATTCATGAGCCATCCAACAACACCAAACTCTCTGGAAAATCCTAATAAATAAATCCTAATATCTTCATAAAACCAACCCACACTTGTGTCCTCTTCTCTCTGCCTAAACAACCAGAAAATTGGAATATTGGAATAGAAGCCAAACAGAATGAAGCAAAACATGATTTGTACTGGATGCTCTGCTGTACAAACAGATACTTCAAGGACCCCATAAGGGAAATTGTCTTGTTACAAGAAACAAACAAAGCACAATGCACAAATGAAGTGCACTGTACATACATAAGCTGAAATCAAACAAGCAAATATCAGCGCAAATTCACAGCTACATCTGGTTTATAGGTGGTCTAGATGCTTTAAAAACATCTCAGACACCTCATGAAATACAGATATAATTATCATAGGCCCGAAAATCAAATTAAGCAGGTGAGTAACCTGAATCTGAATAGGAGGAACTTTCCCTATGTAACTTGTAGAGTTTTCCATGTGTTCGTGTAGGTTTCTTCTGGGTTTTCCAGTTTCGTTCCACTCTACATTGCCCTCTTATTATTTAGGGACTCTTGTGAAAGCTGATGTCATGATAAATTAAACACCTGTATATTTCAGCGCAAAACCTGGTTGCCTCTGCCAGGAGGTTCAGACTTGCCCATAGCGCTTTCAGCAAGATGGTGATTCAATTCAAGACAGGAATTGTTAAAGTAACACTAAATCATTGTTCTGCAATGACCATCTCAATGTCTGGATTTGAACCCCAGTGTATACCTGTGGCCTGAATTAATGAAGGAAATCCACTTGCACAAAACCTAAGACACTTTAAGAAGTTTAAAATGCTCTACATGGAAAAGTGGACTAAGATTGCTCTATAAGTATTTCCAAAATTGTTGGACATCTCAGGAAGAGTGCTCTAATTGTATCCACAGCTGGCATCACAAATTTTTTTATCATTGGCTGCCAATGAGTTTGATACCAGTGTTTTGTAGAAAAAAAAATTGCACTACTTAAAAGGAAAAAAAACCCCAAAACCTTCTGTGTTTGAAATTTTTAAACAAAACTCTTAACTGTCCCTTTAATTTTAGCTCAAATTAGTGTACTATTCTTTATATACATTAATTCGCTTGTTTATATGATGGGTGCCAATAGTTCTGGTGCCAATTTTGTTGCTGTTGTTACTGTTAATTAGGAGCAATTTCTCATTAATAGTTTCTTCACATAAAGATTTTGTGTTGCAACAAGTAATCTTTGTTAGAAAGTTCTCGATTGAAAGTATTTTTTAAAGTTTTTGTTGTCCTACCCATGATGGTGTTTTGATGACCATGATTGTCACATGGGCTTAGTGGTTAGCACGTTCGCCTCACACCTCCAGGGTCGGGGGTTCGATTCCCACTGAGGCCCTGTGTGTCCCTGAGGTTTCCTCCACCAGTCCAAAGACATGCGTGGTAGGTTGATTGGCGTGTCTAAAGTGTCCGTAGTGTATGAATGGGTGTGTGAGTGTGTATGTGATTGTGCCCTGCGATGGATTGGCACCCTGGGTTGGTACCATGTGCCCGATTTTTCCTGGGATAGGCTCCAGGTTCCCCGTGACCGTGAAAAGGATAAGCGGTATAGAAGATGGATAGATGGATTGTCACATGATGGTCACTGTCCAGTGTTGGTACAATAAATAATTTGATGTATTATGAACTTCACAATAAACATAAGATTTCACAGAGCTTTTTTTTTGTGTGTGTGTGTGTGTGTGTGTGTGTGTGTGTGTGTGTGTTGTAGAAAACTACCTGACATTGCAATTGCATGATATTGTTTTGCACAGTTTTTCACAGTGATGTTTGTTGGTAAATGAGACCATTTAGCTGTATTCATATTCATTGCATGTGAAAAGGGGTCTTTGGCTGAATGTGCATTGCTATGATGTCACATGACACGTCTTGGCCCAAATCTCTGCAGTAATTTTGAAAAAAATTTGAAAAATGCAAGCTGAACTATTCTAGTTTTGGAGTCTATTTTTTGAGGCAGTCATTTACTCATTTTTAAAGCAATCAGATGTGTGTTTGCTTGTTTGTTTGTTTTTTCCAATTCACTACGGTTTACTGTGGCTTCTCCTCTTCACCATGATTTTCAGGGGCGTGGAATTTACCCCATGACAAAACTCGACCAATTTCTTAATACAAGCCCTGGCTAAGGTTATATACACACACTGGATGGCCAAAAGTATGTGGACACCTGAAGAATCGCTCCCATATGTGATTTTTTCAACATCCCATTCCACATTTAGTCCCACATTTGCTCTTAATATAACCTCCACTCTTCTGCAAAGGCTTTCCACTAGATTTTGGAGTGTGACTGTGGGGATTTGTGGTGTTTCAGCTACAAGAGTGTTAGTGAGGTCAGTCACTAATGATGGGTGAGGAAGCCTAGCATCAATTCATCCCAAAAAAATTGTCTAGTCGGGTTGAGGTTAAATCTTCCACTCTAACCTTGGCAAACCATGTCTTCTGGGACCTTGCTTTCTGCACAGGGGCACTGTCATGCTGGAACAGGTTTATTCCCCTTAGTAGACAATTGTATGCTTCAAACTGTGGCAAAAGTTTGGGGAAGACCAAACTGAACATATATAGAATTATGAATAGAATTATGAGCCTTCAAGACATACAGTAAGTGGGATGTGGATCTAGAGAATGAACTTAGCCTCTAATTAGCCTGTCATCACACTGGAGCAAAGTATGACATCGAAGCGAATGCTGAAATTACATTATGAGCCCATGGAGTAAGTTTATTCTGAACCTTTACACCAGGAACGATATGATTCATGTTGCGTACACTTTCCAAGAGACCGGATTGCATGAGTTAGATAATGCATCAGAGAACACGTGTTGTTTGTTTAGTTGAACCTTACTTTTGAGCCTTTCGGAAAATAGTAGATTAAATTCGTTTGAATTTAGCTTTCTGTCTTACAAAAAAAAAAAAAAAAGATTAACTGGTTGTGCTTTTATTAAACACAGCAGAGGCACTGCTAGCACGCCAGTACCATAATATTTCATACTTACACAGTTACCCTCAGTGGGCCTGCTCTATGATAAATACAGCAGTCAAACAAATTGAGAATGCAGCATGGCACTTTGAGCATAGTTTATTTTATCTATTTAATGAGCGGTATGAAGCAGAAGGACTGCACACTGCCTCATTTACTCACTTAACACATTGCAGCTGAACTTGGAAACATGATGCATGGTGCACATGATGATTATAATGTACATCCTCATCCTCCAAGGTGAGATAGTTAACGCAAAAAGTGAACAGGGTTATAAATGGACCCATAATATAACTTAATCTTAGATAACATCATGCACCAAAGGTAAGAGAAACGGGATCTGTGACAAATAGAGCAGAGGTGCTGTACACTATTAAGCTGTTCGAGGCTGCTTTTAGAGTTTGTAGCCATTTAAGGGAAGACACATCTATTTTGGTCAGACACTCACTGGCCACTTTATCAGTCATACCTGTACACTAAAACTTTTTCCAGTCTTCAGCTGTCCAGTTTTGTCCACTGTTCTGTCCACTGTAGCCTCAGCTTCCTGTTCTTAGCTGAAAGGAGTGAAACATGATATGGTTTTCCACCTCAAGGATTGGAATGTTGTGCATTCCGAGATGCTTTTCTGCTCACCACGGTTATAAAGAGCAGTAATTTAAGTTAAATAAATGAGCTTTGCTGTCAGATCGAACCATTCTGGGCATTGTCCTTTGATCTCTCTCGTCAACGAGGCTTTTCTGCTCACGGAACTGCTGCTCACTGGATATTTTTTGGTTTTCCGTGCCACTCTGTGTAAACTCTAAATACAATCCCAAGAGTTCAGCAGTTTCTACAGTCCATACAGGATTTCACTGAGCTTTATTGAATTTTTTTTTTCTGGCCGTAAATGATTGATTTAGCTGCGTTTTTTTTCTCTCCAAAATTTATGATGCAACTTGTGCAGTTGTTTGTGTTTTTTCTTTGAAGATAACTACTTGAATTGACAAAATTGCAATTGCATGGAATTTCTTTCGCAGTCATGTTTGTTTGTTGGTAAATGAGATCTTTTAGCTGTACTCATCTTCGACGAGCGTGAGTCCAAGAGGGCTTCGGATGAATATGTGTTGTGATGATGTCACCTGGCCCAAATCTTGCGGAAAATCTGTGGGAATTTGGAAAAATCACAAACTCCTTCCGAATATTGTGCGTTATATTTTGCGATAATTTCTTCGATCGTAAAAAAAAAAAATTGCGAAATCCTGGATGGACTGTTTCTAAAAATACCCCAACCGGCCAGTCTTCCACTAAAAACATGCCACAGTCAGAATCACTGAGATGAAATTTTTTCCCCATTCTGATATTTGATGTGATGTAGATGTATGATGCTGCCACATGATTGGCTGACTGTTGACTGTACAGTATACGTCATTTGTTTGATAAACCTTATAAACCGCATGTCGTGTTGAAATTACATTTATTTTTATTTTACTAGTATTTCTCTAGATGTTTGTGCCCGATGCTCCCTGGGATTGGCTCCAGGTTCCCCCGCGACCCTGAAAAGGAATAAGTGGTAGAAGATGGATGGATGGATGGATGGATCGTATTTCTCTATATATTTTTTTCCTTCTTTCTTCATAGATGACCTGCGTTCATGACATTTTACATTTTGTGTTCTTATCCCTACAGTACTTAAAAGCTTATTACATAGTAATTTCATAGTAATTTCTATAACAGTTCCATGGTATTGTCTTGATCGAACATTGTTATACAATACCTCATTTGCATGAGGAGAAAAAACAGTGCAAAAGAAATTGTGATATCTATTGTTACAAAAAATAAAATAAAAATCACTTGTATTGTCTTGCCTGTGGTTGGTTATGGTATTCAGGATGTGAAGTGAGATGCTTTATGACTAATATATGAAGGGGGGGTGTTCCTTATCAAAGAGTTCACCACGAGGCCGCGTGGATCAACGCTGGAAAAGGATGGAGAATAACAGACGAACACCAGATACGGTTAAAGCCTCGTGAACTCTCGGAGTTCAGTCTTATGACAATGCAGAAAAACTATGGCGATTAAAGTAATCTGTAGCTGCCACATCCAGGAACTATCTGTCTCTGCCATCCACATAAAGAAATAAACAGAATTCTCTCAGAGTTAAGCAAGTTTGCCATCTAACGTTAACTGTGTGCAACAGCACACTACAACTTGATCTCACATAATATATAAAGCAGGGGTTTTTAATGAGGAAGCCTGATTACAGCTATTAGAGAGGATGGATCACTCAAATATGACACCGGTTAGGAGACGCAAAGCATCTCAATTGCTTTTATACCACTGAGACAAGCATTTAACTATAATAGCTATGGTAAATATGCTGATTTAAAAGGGATAATTTGAGACGAAGAACCTGTTACCAAACGTGTCACTGAAACAAGTAGATAATATAGTGTGGCTAATTTTTTACACTGAGGAATTATCCTGTCATTTTATTCAGACTGACTTGAATATTAAACAGAGTCAGAGCTTAATGAGATTTAACTAGGCCATGCCACTGAGCCTGATGATATCCCCTTCTGTCTGTTATCTTCCAACATGCTCAGGTTTCGAGCTCAAAATAGTTATTATTAACGATAAATTAGGAGAAGATCTAAGAGCGTTTTTTTTTTTCCTTCAGTCTGGGTCATCTGCTCTTAAATTAGTCTGAGCATGAGCATGGACCAGTCAGAACTGTGAATGAATATTAAATCTGCCATAAGCAAGGAATAAAAGACTTAAGCGTGTGTACATTCCAAGTGCACAAGAGTGTTTTATTCCTCTTACAGTACAGCGACAAGTTGTCAAAGGTTACTTTGACTAATTACTCGTTTTTTAAAACGTATTAATGAAATGACACACCCGCCTGTCTTTAGTGGCAAAAATGAGATTTGAAATGGACGGTGCTGTGAAAACAATCTTTGCCTGATTTCTTCTGTTTTCGTATATATCTCATGCTAAACTGTTTCAGAAACTCAAATATAGACGAAACAAAGGCGACCTGAGTAAACACAAAAGAGAGTTTTTAAATGATAGTTATTTATTGAAGCAAAAAAAGCTATCCAATACCATCTGGGCCTGTGTGAAAATGTATTTGCCCACGCTGTTACTAATTCCCCAAATATATGAAACTGCATTCATTATGACGTTCAGCTGGACTAGACATAACCAGGCCTGATTACTGCAAACCCTGTTCCATCAAATCAACACTTAAATGGAACTTTTTCAACATGAAGTTGGTTAAAAGGTCTTACCCAGTAACACACTATGCCAAAGTTGAAAGAAATTCCTGATATGACGAGGAAGAAGGTGATTGAAATACATCAGTCTGGGAAGGGTTACAAAGCTATTT